TTCTTGAGGAGGGGCCTCACCACAGCCTCTTTCAAGGCAGCCGGCAAGAACCCCTCACTCAAAGAAGCGTTGACGATTCCCTGGAGCCAGCCTCGTGTAACCTCCCGGGAGGCCAGTACCAGCCAGGAGGGACACGGATCCAGTAAACATGTGGTGGTGTTCAGCCGTCCCAGCATTCTGTCCATGTCCTCGGGGGTCATGATGGCATCAGATACTGGCCAAGCTTAAGCTCCTCTTCAGAGAGCCTTCTGAGCATGTGCAGATAGCTCCCCTAGCATCACCAGTCACCACAGCTGCTTCTTAGGAAAATGGGGTGAGGAAAGGGAGGGAGCTGTTTAAGAGATATTTTAATGTTTAGATTGCCACTTGGAGGTGCCAGTGGTATAGTACCGAAAACAAACCTAACAAACAAAATGGAGGTGGCATCCTTTTCCCACACCGTCCTCTCTTGGGACCCAGGTCCTCTCTTTGCCCAATCCCTTCAGACTCAAACTGACACCTCCCTGGCCCCAGACAAGGCCCTCCACAAGCTGGACTTAAACCAACCAGGTGAAGAACCCCAACCTTCTCCTCCATGAGTGGCTTCCCAAAGGCCCCCTTTGCCTAAGAACAGGACTGTGCTGGTCCAGTATATAGCTAGCTTAGGAGTTGAGAGCTGTGTGTAGAGCAGTGGTTCTCAACCTTTTTAATGCCGTGACCCCCAACCGGTCGTAAGTCGAGGACTATCCAACCGATCGTAAGTCGAAGACTTTCCCTGCCTGGGAGCGCCGTGCATGCGTGGTTCCGCCCCCTGCGTCGGCCGAGGCGTAGCTGGCAAGCGGCAGAGATGGAGCAGGCCGACCACCAGCTGGCCCAGCTCAAGGGAGGTAAGGCACCTGCCGGAAAAGGGGAAAAAAATGGCGGACAGCCTTGCTTGGTGACCCCCGTGAAATGGTTGATCGACCCCAAATGGGGTCACGACCCATAGGTTGAGAACCGCTGGTGTAGAGCAAATAGCATTTAAGGGTTAAAAGCTATCTCCTTAAGAGGTGGCCTTCTGGGAAATGTAGTTTTAGTTGTTACATGGTTATATCTGTGTTCTAATTGGCCACTAGGAGGGTCTTGTGTCTTTTATTACGGACATCCTGTGTATGTTCCAGTTTATTATCTCTCCATGAATCCTAGCAAGGAGGCTGGGAGCTCCGTAGAATGGGGAAAATGTAACCAGAGCAGCATGTGATCTTTATGAAGATGGAGGAAAATTATTCTCTTTTTACCTGCGTGAATGGACGGAATATGAAACACGTGACAGATGAATCTACAATAACTGTGAGTTAATGCTTAGAATTCCTGATCAATAAATATTCTGCATGTTGACTTCCGGTGGCGAGGCTTCGCCAAAGGAGGCTTTTTTTTCAGCCTCCCGCCCGGGACTGCATCAAAGCTGTCAAAACAGCGCGGATCAGCT